CGGCCGTGCATTCTCAGGGAAACCGTGCGTCGTATTCAGGTTTTTCACTCTCGAGTAAATCGTTTTCAAATCGCTCGGCCACATGTGTTTCGCAGCATCGACTCTGAAGTTCAAGAAGTTCCCTTCTTTAACACCTGTCGATCCTATCGACTCGTTGTCACGACTCGATATTACCGATATGTATCATCAATATTATTATTATTATCAATTAAAATGTGCAAAATGTGAATACAAACCGGAAACCGGCAACACCAACGGCGACCAGATCGTTGAGAAACTCAACAAGCTTCGACCTGACATACTCTTGACTCTGATCCAAGTCGTGGAGACCAACCAACTCGCAATTCCTCACGTTTGCCGGGTCGTTGTAATTGTTCACTGCGCAACGAGCATGGAAATTTTTGACGGTGTAGGGCACTTGCGGATAGTCGAAGTTGTACGTGTCCGCCCTCGAGTTTCCTGTTCCGTGTGCGTCGTTCCAATCACCGGACATATGGTTCATTATAACGTCCACATAGATCCGTACACCCGCTTTGTTGCATCGCGCCACCATATCGATGAATTGTTCTCGCGTGCCCGATCGCGTGACCCATTTGTAGGAAATCGGTTGATAACGTTCCCACCATGGCCTCTTGTCGATCACAATGTTCTCTTGTACCGGTGATACCTATACAAATGTTGCAATATGTGTACATGTCGCGTTGATAAAGCGATTGTTGTTTGAAGCGATGTTTCTATCTTTGATTTATTTAAAATGTTTGATGGAATAAATTTGGTTAGTAAGTTTGGTTTCTTTGAATTTCTATTGATTTTCTATTGATCAGTGAGAGGATTCGTAATTGTTGTCGTAATTCGTGATGTTGTTGAGATAAATGAGTTTCAGATAGATAATTGATAAAAGCATAGATAGATATTTGTTTGTTTACAGAAGGTAGTTTATAATAGAATTATTTTTGCAAATACACGCGAGGAAATATTTAATCGATAATCATTAATGGGTAAATAGGTAAATTAATTGTAAAGATTAAAAGTCCCATTATGATCTCTGATATTGGATTTTAATTGTTATTGACATTTTAAAAAAATAAATCTGATGCAAGTAAATTTTTAATTCACATTATTTTCTAGGAGTTTGTTTAAAGTTTAAATTCAAGAATTAATTTAAATAAATATGGATTTTATTTAAACCGAAAAATTAATTAAACGTAAAAGTATGTTTTTAATATATTCCTCTAAATTTTATTTTTAAAGAACCTTCATGAAATATCTTTTCAATAAATATCACGTATTTATCAATTGTTTTCATACAACTATAATATATTTACTATAAACTATCGTACATTTGAATAACATTTTGAATTTAAAAATAAAAATATCATTAATCAATTAACGTTTAAAAATTAAGAAATTTTATCACATACCTGGACTCCACCAAAGCCTACAGGTCCAAGGAATTGTTCGCACTCTTTCGCAACGTCGTTCCATTTCCATTCGAAGAGATGGACGATAGCGTCGTGGCCAGGAGCAAAATGTGGGTCATTGTGGGCAATTTCACCCGCTGCCAACGTGAGCAGTGCCAACAATAACACGATCGCGGGCATCATAGTCAGTCTACGTTGCAAAATACTCGTGTCTCTAATATATAAACCATTTACGTCATTTACGTAATCTCTTTTCACTGTATCCAAAGGTCAATCATCCCCTCTGCCACCGATTTACCATTTTATCAATACGAGTCACATCTATTGTCTATCCGATGCAATAAACAATTATTTCACTCGAGCTCATCTTATCGTTATTGTTGTGAAGCAAACAAAATAGAGGAGAAGTGTTTTCAACAATATGATTAGTGATTTTCTGTGAAAATTTGAAAGTTTTTTTTTTTTTTTACTTTTATTTTCATCATCATTGAATTACGCATATAGCTTTTATATTTTCTTGATCTGAATATATTTAAAACGCATTAATTCTTCGTGGCCTTTCACGTTTTATTTGAACCGGTTTATAGTTCAGAGTTGCGTATATTTTCAAACTTTTATGATCTCTATACTATTTATATTTATTAAAGTAATATAAATACTGAAATTTATTTAAATTGGAAGAAATTTTATTATTTTCTTATTTTATATCCGATTATTTATTTTCAATGGAACGAATATTTATGTTCAGTTTCATTCTTAAAAAATATTTTATCAATGTAACTTATTAGTCAGTCATTTAACATGTATATTTTAGAATATTTTGATTTCTCATTTATGTTGAGACGTATCAATGTATACCAAATATAAAAATCTGTATTAAATCTGTAATAAAATCTTATTAGATGAAAAACAATAATCTAAAAACAGTATATCACAATGATAAGATATGTTTAATAATAATGTGATAATTATAAAAAAATGTTATATAATTAAATTGTAAAAAAATTTTAAAAATAATATCGTATCGTATATTTATTTTTTGGACGTAAAGAAATCTTGTTTTTTCTTCTTGAAGATAACTTCTCCCAAATATATATTATGAAACACATATTTATAACCTTTTCTCAAGGTTTTGTTTTGAAAAATTCCATTGTTTTGTAAATTTTTCCACTTGTTAAACAATTGTTCCATTTATTATTTGGACTATCGTTCAATGCAAAATAATTTTCTTCAATGATAAATTGTTTAAACAAGTATCTTCACGCGTGACAGACGTGCATAAATGTCACAATAAACGAATAATAACAATGAATTATACGTGACTTGATCGTATCAATGAATAATAATTAACCATAAATTTTTGGAGTTTGAAAAAATATATAATATATGTTTTATAATTGTAATACAAACAAATCTTATAGAGATTCAATTTCTTTAAAAAACTTTTATTTATTTTTTATTAATACCTCTGAATAATTACTACTGCAAAAAAAATATATATATAAATATATAAAAATAACACAAAAAAAAAGAAATATTAAAACATCCATTTATATTAAAAATAAAATTAAAAATTGTTGAAAATGAGAGTTTAACTCAATAATTTTTTTGAAAATTAATCGAAACAGACAGATCACAATTTTAAAAAATTCATTCGAATAATATAAAAATTTTTTTTTCGTATTTCAAAACAGTCGTTCATTCATCACTGCAAAAGAAAAATCCTGTTGAATCCCTCACCTATAACGATTTTCGAATGATGGAAGAAGCAGGCTGCGCCTCACTCTTCGCGGAGCATAATTACGGAGGGGATCGTTAATCGGTTCACCGAAGGATCAGCCAGGCAACAGGGAACAGCGTATGGTTGGCTGTTATCAACGCAGCTCGTATATCGTCGCAAACCGTTGTAAAGTAGAGGAGCGGCGAGCGTACGATTTCGCTGCGGGTTACAATTACGAGCGAGGCGCGTAATTAAAAGCTGATGTCCCCCATTTATTAACGCTACCGGACGAGTGCACCGGTCGAGAGCCGCTCGTTTTAATGCCAAACGTCATCAACATCGACCGTCGTCCCCTTCGTCTCTCCCTCCCTCCCTTCCTCCCCTTCCTTCCTCC